TCGGTAATCCCAGCTACTTGGGAGGCAGAGGCAGGACACTCGCTTGAGCCCAGGAGTTGGAGGTTGCTGTGAGCTGTGATGCCACAGCATTCTACCCAGGGCAACAGCTTGAGGCTCTGTCTCAAAATAATAATAATAATAATAATAATAATAAAATGCCATGCTTTTTGACTAACACTCCAGGAAAATGTCTCAATTTAATCTTGAAGACTTTTGGTACATGTGGCGCACTGAGAAAGCTCTTCCTCTCCAACCCCAACTACACTGCAAGCATTCCACAGCTTTACTTATATTTAAGTAAAGACTGTTCAGTAGACTCTCTTACTATATATGCATCCTCTGCGAAACTAATATAGTATCATATACAGACACTCAAGAGAAATGTCGTTTTATATATATATATGTATGTATATATACTTTTTTTAGACAGAGTCTCACTTTGCGACCTGGTAGAGCGCTGTGAAATCACAGCTCACAGCAACTTCCAACTCCTGGGCTCAAGCCATTCTCTTGTCTCGGCCTCCCAAGTAGCTGGGACCACAGGCGCCCACCACAACTCCTGGTAACCTCAAACTCTCGGGCTCAAGTGATTTTCTTGCCTCAGCCTCCCAAGTAGCTGGGACTACAGGCGCCCGCCACAACGCCCGGCTATTTTTTGGTTGCAGCCATCATTGTTGTCTGGTGGGCCCGGGCTGGGGATTCGAACCCACCACCTTAGGTGTATGTGGCTGGTGCCTTAGCCGCTTGATGCACAGGCGCTGAGCCAAAAACACTTTTCATATAACTATAACATAATCAGAGAAGAGTACATAAATCAAAATAAATAAAAATGTACAAGTCAATGAATAATGAACATACCCATGTAGCCAGCATGTAGCCAGCATCAGATTAAGAAACAGAACACTGGGCAGCACCTGCGGCACAAGCAGTAGGGTATTGGCCCCATATCCTGGAGGTGGTGGGTTAAACCTGGCCCTGGCCAAAACCTGCAAAAAAGAAAAAAAAAAAAAAAAAGAAACCGAACATTGGCCCTGTGCCTGTAGCTCAAGTGGTTTAGGCATGAGCAATATACACCGAGCCTGTCAGTTCAAATCCAGCCCAGGCCCGCCAAACAACAACTATAACCAAATAATAGCCAGGCATTGCGGCGGGTGCCTGTAATCCCAGCTACTTGGGAGGCTGATGTAAGAGATCACTTTGAGCCCAAGAGTTTGAGGTTGCTATGAGCAGTGACACCACTGCACTCTACCCAGGATGACAGCTTGAGACTCTGTCTCAAAGAAAAAACAAAAACAAAAAACCAGGGCTTGGTGCCTGTGGCTCAAGTGGCTAAAGTGCCAGCCACGTACACCTGAGCTGGTGGGTTCGAATGTAGCCTGGGCCAGCCAAACAACAATGATGGCTGCAACCAAAAAATAGCCAGGGGTTGTGGCGGGCACCTATAGTCCCAGCTATTTGGGAGGCAGAGGCAGGACACTCGCTTGAGCCCAGGAGTTGGAGGTTGCTGTGAGCTGTGATGCCACAGCACTTTACCCAGGGCAACAGCTTGAGGCTCTGTCTAAAAAAAAAAAAAGTTACCAGCACCCTACAAACCCCCTTCATATCCTCTCCCAGGACCAAACAATGTGAATGTTCCTTTGAACTCCATAGCATTATACTGACACTTTTATATAGACGCTTATCATATTTTGCCTTGCATAAAGATGATAATTGTACCTTTTTCCATTAAAAATGCACCTAATTATACAAAAAAATGAACAGCCACAAGCCTGTCACAAGAAGCTATCTAAAAATATTAAAATTTAATGTTAAATGTGCCCTGTTATCAGCAGACCAATGTTTGTTTTTAATATTAAAATGCCAAGCAGCTAAGGCGCTGGCCACATACACCTGAGCTGGAGGGTTGGAATCCAACCCGGGCCGCCAAAACAACAACGACGGCTGCAACCAAAACATAGCTGGGCGATGTGGCGGGCGTCGGTAATCCCAGCTACTTGGGAGGCAGAGGCAGGACACTCGCTTGAGCCCAGGAGTTGGAGGTTGCTGTGAGCTGTGATGCCACAGCATTCTACCCAGGGCAACAGCTTGAGGCTCTGTCTCAAAATAATAATAATAATAATAATAATAATAAAATGCCATGCTTTTTGACTAACACTCCAGGAAAATGTCTCAATTTAATCTTGAAGACTTTTGGTACATGTGGCGCACTGAGAAAGCTCTTCCTCTCCAACCCCAACTACACTGCAAGCATTCCACAGCTTTACTTATATTTAAGTAAAGACTGTTCAGTAGACTCTCTTACTATATATGCATCCTCTGCGAAACTAATATAGTATCATATACAGACACTCAAGAGAAATGTCGTTTTATATATATATATGTATGTATATATACTTTTTTTAGACAGAGTCTCACTTTGCGACCTGGTAGAGCGCTGTGAAATCACAGCTCACAGCAACTTCCAACTCCTGGGCTCAAGCCATTCTCTTGTCTCGGCCTCCCAAGTAGCTGGGACCACAGGCGCCCACCACAACTCCTGGTAACCTCAAACTCTCGGGCTCAAGTGATTTTCTTGCCTCAGCCTCCCAAGTAGCTGGGACTACAGGCGCCTGCCACAACGCCTGGCTATTCTTTTTTTTTTTGAGACAGAGCCTCAAGCTGTCACCCTGGGTAGAGTGCCATGACATCACAGCTCACAGCAACCTCCAACTCCTGGGCTCAAGCGAGTCTCCTGTCTCCGCCTCCCAAGTAGCTGGGACCACAGGTGCCCGCCACAACGCCCGGCTATTTTTGGTTGCAGTCATCGTTGTTTGGCGGCCGGGGCTTCATTTGAACCCGCCACCTTAGGTATATGTGGCTGGCGCTTTAGCCGCTTGAGCCACAGGCGCCAAGCCACGCCCAGCTATTTTTAGAGACAAGTCTCCCTCCGACTCAGGCTGGTCTGGAACTCCTGAGCTCAGGCGATTCACCCAGCTCAGCCTCCCAGAGTGCTAGGATTACAGGTGTGAGCCACTGTGCCCAGCCACAAGAAATGTTGTTGAACTAGGATTCTGGATAGGTTAACTAGTATTAACTACACTAATTAAACGTTTACCATGTTATCTAGAATCTGCTCCCTGTTTCGAGGAGCTGAGTCTCCATAGGATAATTCTGGAACTGAGTACAATACTACGTAAGGATTAGATTACGGAACGTAAGCCATTAAGCAATTAGTGTTCAGTACGTTGGAATTCAGTTTCTCCATTTCACACATCGGGTGACACATCGTAATAGCGTCTACTAGCATTTAAAAATCCAATCTGGTAATAGCCAGGCATTGTGGCTGGCGCCTGTAGTCCCAGCTACTCGGGAGGCTGAGGCAAGGGGATGGCCTAAGCCCAGGAGTTGGAGGGTGCTGTGAACTCTGACACCACAGCACTCTGTAGGCGATAATAAAGTGAAACGCTGTCTCCACACACACACCAAAAAAACCAATCTGGCCAGGCAGGGTGGCTCACACCTGTAATCCTAGCCCTCCGGGAGGCCGAGGCGGGTGGGTTTCTTGAGCTCAGGAGTTGGAGACCAGCCTGAGCAATAGGGAGACCCCGTCTCTACCCAAAGTGGAAAAACCGAGGGAAAAGGATGGTTCACCCGAAGAGCCTGAGGTTGCTGTGAGCTATGACGCCACAATACTGTACCCAGGGCACCAGAGGGAGACTCTTTTTCCAAAAAAAAAAAAAAAAAGTCCAATCTGATCTCCCCATTTTCTGGAGATCGATGATTTTCTGCTAACGTTTTTTAATCCTCTCCACCTGAGAATAAAAGATTTACATCCTTTCGCTCTCCAGTTTGACGACTTGCAAAGACTCCTGGGCGCCAGGCGGTGAGGTTGATGAAAATCTGAGCCCACCAAAAGGCAAAAATGCCAAAGCTAGCAGCCCCGCCCCGAAAGCCCCCACAGTCCTCCAATTGGTCATCGTGGCTCACTCTCTTTCCAGGTTGGTGTTCCAGCTTGCCGGTCGCCTCTATAGAACCTACCTTTAGCCAGCGACTATTGGTAGATCGTTACGTCACTGTCCCACTACTCCACTCCTATTGGCTCCCATAAGAAGAGGCGGTCGCAACGTCACAGGCAACTGCCGCCATTTTGACTGAGCAACCCTAGTGACAGGAGCCGAAGCCGCAGAGCAGGTTGTCCCCATTTCCCCTCCCCCTTCCCTTCTCCGGTTGATTTCCCGGGCCCCCTACACTCCACAGTCCCGGTCCCGCCATGTCCCAGAAACAAGAAGAAGAGAACCATGCGGAGGAGACCGGCGAGGAGAAGCAGGTGAAATGGAGGGGGTGCAGGCGGGCGAGCTGGGGGCGACCGGGATGGGGCGGGAGACCGTCTCCCACCGGTGCGGGATTGGTCGCCATGGTCTCGGGCTCTGCAGGGGTTGGACACTTCTTGCGTCACGCAGGGTAAGCGTCAACATGGCCTGGTGCTTTGGCGCTGGTTAGTTAGGTCGATTGTCACTCTGTACAGTTTCTTCCCTGATTGGCCAGTAGCCCTACAGCTCAAGCCGCGGAAGCCGTGCTCTAATTGGCCGATTTTGGACGTGGGGCGGGTGTTCGAGTGAATGGAAGGGGGCTGGTGGTCCTGGACCTATATGTGTTTTCTGGTTAGCAGAAGTGAATGGCTTAGCGACCAGGCCTGCATCCTCCATCCGCGAAGAGATACGGTAGAAGTGAAGACGTTTTAAGGAACAATATTGGGGGAGGGAAGAGTAATAATTATTATCATGGCTAGTTTAAGGTGACAACTTTCTCTAGAGACATATTTTGATAGATGGAGAATGGTCTGTTACTTACCTTCAGTGAGGACTGAAGAAGATTGAAGACTCGAATTCCAAACAGTAAACCTAGAAAAGACGCCGACAGAATCGTGACAAGAAAGACACCACCCTCTTCCCCCATAGTTCCGAGGCAGTGGGACTTAGTCCCACCCCCGATTCAGTGATGAAAACACTAACGCCAAATAAACCTCTTCTTGCGGGTTTTACTGGGCTCAAGGACTCATGAAACACATCTGGTATTATATCTATGCGTGATTTTCAAGGGAAGGGAATGTAATTCCACTAAAAAAGCCACACGTTGACTTCAGGTCTTTTCAGAAAGTCACTGAAAGGCCAAGGGTAGTAGTCAGGCCTGTAATCCTAACTCTTAGCCAGGATGAGGCAGGAGGATTATTTGAGTTCAGGAGTCGGAGGCTGTAGTGAACTATGATCATGCCACTGCCCTCCAGCCTAGGTGACAGAACAAGACCCTATCTCTAAAATAAAAATTGAAGAAAAAAAAAGTCACAAAAAGGCTTTGTGACTGAAAAGGGCAGCAGGACCCACAAAAAAGCAAGGAGAGATTGACAACAATAGTGAGAACCCCTAAAAGCCAGTTGAAGCTCTTGGCATTTCCCCAAACTTCCATCACTTGCCCCAAAAGAGTAGATATTGATATTTGGTTAAAACTTAGTGGGTAAAAATTAATGTGTTTTTATTTTCCTTATATCAAAAACAATGTCTTTTAAATCTGTTTATCGGTCACCTTCCTACAATATTTACAGAAATTTTTAAGCAATGTTGTTTCATTACTCAGGTGTAGATCTTTAGAAAAGGCCACATAACTACCCTTCTCCACGAGAAGCTTATCCCCCTGGATTTCCCATTTAACCTGTAAGAAAGATAACCTAGAGAACTCTCCTACTCACCTTATGTCACCTATGGCCAGCTCTTTTCCTGGCATTTGTACTGAATGAGCTATGGCCCACTCTGTGATTAAAGAATTCTGTTTAGGAGGGTCACTGGAGTGGAGTCTGAGAAGCAGCTTGTCTTTTTCTTCTCACAATAATTGAAGTAAGGTCTAGCTTTCATGTTTACAAGTGGGTGGATCTCCAGGAAAAGTTGATAGCATAAAGGTTATCAGATATTAGAAGCAGTTGTTTCTCAGTCTTTAATTTTATTTGGAACATTTGTTTTCTTTAGGACACTCAGGAGAAAGAAGGTATTCTCCCAGAGAGAGCTGAAGAGGCAAAGCTGAAGGCCAAATATCCAAGCCTAGGACAAAAGCCTGGAGGGTCTGACTTCCTCATGAAGAGACTCCAAAAAGGGGTATGGACCGTAATCTCTTCCCCTCTTATTTTGGACCCAAAGGGGATT